TTGAGATTTATATTCTATTCTATCACAAACAATCACACTTTGAAACTTATCGATCTTATAACTTTAGTTCATGTTAGATATCGTTCATCATCAGAAAACAAATATGCGTTTGTTCGAGCGTAAAAGGTTCTAATCAGATCGTTTCTAGCACGACTGTGTATTAAATAAAAGAGGCTGTTACAGAAAAGCCGAAATGATTTGTCATATGTCCAAAAACTACTGTTAAAATTGATCGACTGAGTCGTATATACCGATTCTCTGTTGGTAAGCACTGTCAAAATGTTGGATGATCTTACTCTCAGAATCAATGTTCATGTAAGATGATTATTTCATTCATTCTGAGAATAGATTTACCAGATACCTCTATTTGACTGTCTATCGAGACTAATGCACTAAGCGAAAAGAAAAATGAGGTGACAAAGTTATTTATGCTATTGAATCTCTTTACTCATACATACAAATCTTTAATAAAAAAAGATCAAGTACAATTAAATCTCATAACAGCATATACAAATTGCTGTTTGAATGGACGAAAGAGCGTATCAATTTTATTCCATGATGTCCAAGTTGGATTTGACCAATCAGCGCTAAGAGCTTGGCGTAATCCGTCGACAAATTTAGTTGAATCTTGTTTTTTCTTATTTAAAAATGCAGTTGTATGTGGTACAACATTGAAAAGTGGCGTATATGTCTCATCTGATTGAAGTTCTTTAAGATTTTCTTGCATTACTTCAACAAGAGAAGGAGATGAAGAAGCGCAATTTGATAGTTTCCCAAGAACGTTGTCGAATGGAGTGCGTACTAAATAGAGATAAAATTTTAAGTAGATGCGAAAGAAAAATAATGCGACACTAACTCTTTGAAGTCTTTGATTTTGTCGTTGTAGCACGATCACTAGCATCTTTCATGTGCACTTTATTCTTGTCTTTGGTTGCAGCACGATCATTCGTAGGTACTTTGCTCTTGTCTTTTGTTTTTGCACTATTGTTTCCGGTACTCTTTGTGGATGTTTTACCGTTCTCTTTTGTTGATTTGTCTATAGACTTGCTTGTGACGCTTGATGTCCCATGAATGTAGCATACCTACTAATCCACAACAGTATTTATCCATAAACGAACAATGCTTTTACTTACCAATAAGCATAAGAAAAAAACGAGAACTAGTTTCATCGCGTATTCTTTACGTAGTGACTATGTATATGCTTGATTTTTATTTTAAATATATTTCTCAGCGCTACTGCAAGCTACCGTAGAAAATGAACGATGACAAACACAGATTTTATCATTGATAAATGCGGAAAGTACGTGACTTACACAAATAGATATTTTGTTTGAGAACATATGTACGTGCTTGAACTAAGAGTTAAAAAACTAATGTCTGACAATATTGAATATTGACATTTAATAATGAACGTGTTATACAAATCTGTTTTCTATACTCTTCTTTATTCAGCAGATGTTATTAAAGAGCAGATAAATAGTTAGGTCTATTTGAATACCTATAAGTCTTGAAACAAAATAGAAAATATCAACAACAACAAGAACTAAGGGATTTTTTAATA